ACAGGCTTAGAGGGCAACCCTGGCGAGTACCTCTACCTAGTGTAAAATATTGAGAACTTATCCCGTTAGTACTCACTGAAGCCTTGGGTGAAGAGTATAACAATGCTATCCACGACACAAATTTGGATCCGAGGCAGAACCTCTTAAGGACCTCAAATAGAAAGCCCCACTCCACCCTGTCGAATGCTTTCTCTGCATCCAATGAGACCACCACCTTTGGTGTCTCCTTGGATGCAGGATAGAGGAGGATGTTGAGAAGGCGACGGATGTTGGAGAAGGAGTATCGGCCTTTCATAAACCCAGTTTGGTCTAATGATATGATGTTTGGCGTGACTGATTCAAGGCGTATGGCTAGTATTTTAGCCAGGATCTTATAGTCTGCATTCAGAAGGGAGATGGGGCGATAGGAGCTACATTCAGAATTATCCTTGCCTGGTTTTAATAATACAATTACTACCGCCTCAGTCAGAGTTTGTGGCAACGTTCCCCGGTCCAGAGAGTCCTCGAACATTCTCAAAAGAAGGGGGTCAATTTATCAATAAATTGTTTATAAAACTCAATTGGATAACCGTCTGGGCCCGGGGACTTGCCACTCTGGATCAACCTGATCTAATCAGCTATTTCACTAGGCTTTAGAGGTTGATCCAACTCACCCTCCTGAGCAGGTGTTATGGATGGAAATTCCAGATCATCCAAGAATTTAGTTCTGTCCGCATTTTCGACAGGGGCTTGTGAGGCATATAGTCCAGAGTAAAAGGTTTTAAAGGTGTCGTTGATAACAGATGGGATTGTTGTGAGTTCACGAGTAGGGGTCCGTATGTGTTTAATTTGTTGGGAAACCGACTGGCTCTTAATTTGGTGTGCTAGGAGACGACCCGCCTTCTCCCCATGTTCATACTGAAACCCACGCGATCTTAAGAGCAATTTCTCAGTCTCTTGCGTTGAAAGTAAATTGTATTCCATCTGAAGATTTTGCCTTTCCCTATCTAGTTCAGGGGATGGACATGTTGAGAGTTGGCTATCTAGTTTTGCTATACTGCCCAAAAGTTCTAACTGTTTTTGCTTTTTCATTTTGTTTTGCCTTGCAGAGTAAGAGATAGTCTCTCCTCGGATCACAGCTTTTAACGTCTCCCACAAAAGAGATGGTGATATCCCATCAGACATATTGATTATAAGGAAATCATCAATAGCTTTAGAGATTGTTTCACAGAATCGATCATCGTTTAATAGTGTACAATTCAGTCGCCAGGGGGGACGTGTCTTTTGTAACATGTGAATGAGAGGTCAAGTAACAATGGGGCGTGGTCGGATATCACTATGGGTGAGTATTCTATGTTCTATCTATAATGTTGATGTTTTCATGTGTTTTATTGTTCAGGGTTTATTTACATTTTACAGAATTTCAGCGAACGTGTCACTGTTTTGATAGACAGTTCTTGTGAGGTGAGTGAGGTTAGCCCAAGTCTGAAGTTGAAACCAACAAGTCCCACATTAAGGTCCAAGTCAAGATCCATTTTAACTCCTAGATTGTGTTTCCTTATCATAGGTACTGTAGGTATATACATAATTATTCGACCCTAACAAATGCAAACAGAAATGTTAGGACTAATAGTTAGACATTTTACAGAAATAATGCTTGCCATGACAGATGGTCAGGGTTAAACATGAATTATTATGACTTAATGTTTAAAATAACCTTATGATATTTATGAAAAACTTCCATCATCAGCTCAACAGAGCAAGATGCTACATTTAAGCATGCGCACAGGCACTCGATTACAGTGTTTTCATAAACATCATGCAATCTGAATTTATCATAAGTAGTACAGTATGTCATCCCCCCAGTGTTTCCCCTAGGATGGAGTCATAGCAGCGGTGCTAAGGCACGTGGGCCCAGCATAATGTGAGCACGGAGCGCGTGGAATTTTTTAGTGTGTGCACGTGCAAAGTGCGCCCCGCCAACTTGTTTCTATGTGTCTGCCAGCACAATAAAGGCTCTAGTACCAGGGCCGGTTCTAGACAATTTGCTGCCCTAGGCGAGATTTTATAAAGAATAAATGAAAAATCTCTACAAAAGACAAATACACTACAAAAACAGAAACGTATTGACATAGGTAATATACGTCAAAATGGCTTCAAATGTATTCAGTATTGTATGAACATGTTTGAAATGGGGGGTGGACGTCACATCCTCTAGGGGGGTCCGGGGGTATGCCCCCCGGGAAGATTTTTCTTTTGAACATTTTAAAGTAAAATGCAAAAACAGAAACGTATTGACATAGGTAAACACTGATCACCCCCTCTGTGTTGTTCATAGGTCATTCTTTAAAACATGTTTTTTAGGAAGTCTGACATGTAGAGCACAGTTTGTTGTTGACCCCAGCCAGGTGTTCTGACCTGAGACACATCTGTCAGTCAGCTGCTCTGCATCCACAGACTCACATTGGCCTCTTACTTGTGAATAGTGTTTGGCTGCCATGAGATTGAGTAAGTATAAGACAGGAAATGTAGACTTTACAATATGACTCAACGTCATGTCATAAGGCACAAGCACACACCTCTGATTCCCAGGAAGTGTCAGTGCAGAGTCCTTTCATATTACAAAACTGCCTTTTCTTTGGTACAAGGAGCTGATTAAATGTCAGACTTTAAAAAGAAACACAGCCCTGTGCAGTGTGTAGGACAGTGTGTATTTTTGCCATAGACGTGCTTCTAGTAGACTGTGTTGTGCTTTAAGTGGCCCAATGTTGCCATCCTAACATCTAAATGTCCCCATGTGACACCACAGGGACATTTGATAGTGTGCTTGTTAAAGCTTGGTTTCAGATTACTCTGTGGTGCCTGTAGCTTTATAACATTTGATGATTACATGCTCTTTCTCCAGCTCTAATGATCGAATGGGTGCGATTGCTTGAGGTGCCCTTTTTAGTTGTATTTAAAAACGAACTGTTCTAACTGCCCACTGCAATGTTTGAGGAACTTGATGTGCGAGAGAGACATTATTTTTACCCAGCGAAAGACAGTCACTACTATTTTTACCTTTAAAAGGACAAGAGAATAGGATGTTATGACCTTGTAAATCAGGATAAGAGGCTGCTCTGCTGCTGTGTGTATGAGAGACTGCTATAATCATTTTATATAATTAAATAATTTATTGTTCATGACTGCGAAGATGGTTTCTGTGTCAGTGCTTCATCTTGGTTACTGTGTGCATGTATGATGCATGTCTGACTGTACCACTGACCAGATGGAAGTTGATTTAGAGAAGTGATGATTCTCCTCTGTGAGCTCTGACAGTGAATCACCCACTGTGTGTTGAACTCTCTGCAGCTCAGAAGGTGGATGTGTGACCATCATGGACTCCGCACAGCACACAGTCAGGGTGCAGCAGTGTGCGGGTGTGGTGCTGTAGTCTCTCAATAGGGGGAGCACTCGGTCTGCTGCTCAGATCACACACTTCCTATTAGGACAGATCAGTTCACAGAAAGGAGTCCAAAATAAAATTCAAAAATAAAGAAAAGATTACAAAACAACTTCTGCACACATTCTGCCTGCTAGTATGTACTCACAAAGTTCAGGTATATGAACACGCTTCTCAGTTCAACATGAGAAACACACAGTTAATGTGGTTAAGGCATTAATAACTCATCCGTCTTAAACCACATCAGAATCATCCGTTGTTTTAAAAATCCGAATAAATTAAGAATTCCTTTTAAGTAAATAGTTCCACTATAGCTGCAACTAGGGCCCATTTCTCCCTTTGTAATGTACCAATTATAAATAATACATTAATATTCAAACAACTATGGCTTTGATGTCATGTGCAATTGCTTGATTGCTGGAATATTCATATTCTAAAATACAGACAGAGATGTGGAGTCGTGTCTGCAAAAGGAAAATGGCTCAATTGGATTCTCTGATTAAATTCACGAGTATAAACCCTGCTGTATGTAAATGACTCCTTTGGTAGTCTATTCTCAGACTACTTTTAGTAATACTGTCTGCTTTTAATGCCGTTGTATTATTCATGTTGTAATATTTTATCTCCAATTTAGTAGGCTGCAGTATTGGGCTTGTTTTCCAACCTCATAAGACTATTCCTGTGAACTAAAACTCATTCAAATGACATGCACATTTATATTTGGATGTTAGTTCTTCCAGAGCAGTGAGTGCACCTCTGTGAATGATAGGTACAGACCATAGACTGCACACAGACCTGTGTGGCCCTACATGTGTCCATCCGTCCATGTCACACTGTCACAGATATCTAATAAAGACCTTAGTTGACACATTTAGTTATTCAGTGTTTGATATAGGGTAAGGAACACTGACATTGAGTGGACTTACATTGGGTCTGAAAGGGTTTTCTTGTAATTGTTTTGTAATAAGCACAGCATTATGGTTAACATCATTTAGTCTATTTGCTTCTTGTTATGAGTCAGACTCTGGTTAGGACGTGTGCCGCTAGGGGTCGCATGAGCTCTGCATATGCCCCTCTCCCTGCATGCCTCCCTGTCCCGCTGCTGCGGCTGGAGGTGAGTTAATAACGTTTCAACTACTGGGTGTAATGATAACGCACATCCTTAAGAGCAGCACGTGGATGGCCGATGATTCCCTGCATACACTTCACAACATTTGCATGCATTAACCGAGCAAGTCCTCCTCACTCTGAGCACGCAAAGGTTCAACTGGTGCGCTTTAAATTACGCATAGGTGGGATTGGATTGGGAGTTAGCAGCCGATGGGTTAAAGTCATATCTATCCAGCCTTGTCTTTCTCTGTCCCTCTTCGCTTTTGCGTCAGGTATTCTAAAGGGAAGAGAATGGGAGGTAGAGCGAGGTAAGAGACACATACAGAGAGAGTAGCCTATGGGCTGAGCGGGCACTGACAGGCAGCCCCGTTATCCAATCAGGGAGCTCTCAGCGTGACTTAAACCCGCGGGGGCTGAGAGGGGGAGGTGCGATGCAGGGGGAAAAGCAAATAGTTGAGTGAACAGCGTCAGTACAGAGTGGAGTGGAGGGGACGCAGTGAGGGCGCAGGGTGCCAAAGACACAGAGCCAGAACGCAAGAGGACAACACTGACTTTTATTTCTAAATAGGGATGATAATAATAGAATAGAAAACGTTTCTCCTTTTTTTTTTATAAATGGATATTTATTTTCTCTTTTTCCAAGCAGCACTGCGCCTCATCGTAATGCGCGCTGGAGCTTCTCCGGGACACATCTGAAAAAACAAGGCAACGGGAGAGAATAGAAAAGAGCTTTTGCTGTTATAAAAACTGCTTTAATAAACCAAAATGTCTCTCTTTTAATGGGGCACATTTCTCCGGACGCCTTACGCTTTTTTTGAGACTTTTACGCAATTTGGAGACTTTATCTCCCGACTAAAATGGTTGATGGAAATGGAAATGTTGTCCAATAACAGAAGATAATAAGGTTTATAATATTTTTTACCCAAGTGCACTTGTTTTTCCGGCGATGATTGTGCTTTTGGTTGTCCTGTGCATCACGGATGGAGTGCTCGCTCAGATACGCTACTCTGTGCCGGAGGAGGCGGACCATGGCATTTTGGTGGGGAATATTGCCGAGGACCTGGGACTGGACCTTACCAAACTGGCATCCCGCCGCTTCCAGGTGGTGCCCAGCTCTCGGACACCGTACCTGGAAGTGAACCTAGAGAACGGCGTCCTGTTCGTTAACGAAAAGATCGACCGGGAACAGATCTGCAAGCAGAGCGCGAGCTGCCAGCTCAACATGGAGGTGTTCTTGGAGAACCCGCTTGAGCTGTTTCGGGTCGAAATTGAGGTGGTAGACATTAACGACAACCCGCCCAGCTTCCCGGAGACAGACATCACGGTGGAGATCTCAGAAAGCGCCGTCCCGGGCACCCGGTTCCCTCTGGAGAGCGCATTCGACCCGGACGTGGGCTCTAACGCTTTACGAACGTATGATATCACCACTAACAACTACTTTTATTTGGATGTGCAGACCCAAACCGACGGAAACAAGTTCGCAGAGCTGGTCCTGGAAAAGCCTCTGGACCGGGAGCAGCAGGCAGCGCACAGGTACGTGCTGACCGCGGTGGACGGCGGCCAGCCTCCCCGAACTGGCACCGCGCTGCTGGTGGTTAAAGTGCTGGACTCTAATGATAACGTGCCGGTGTTTGACCAGCCCGTTTACACGGTGAGCCTCTCGGAGAACGCACCGGTGGGCATGCTAGTTATACAGCTGAACGCCACCGACATGGATGAAGGACTAAACGGGGATATAGTTTATTCCTTCAGTAACCACATATCCAACCGCGTAAAGGACCTTTTCAGCATAGACCCGCGCACCGGGCGCATCGAGGTGCGCGGAGAGGTGGATTTTGAGGAGAGCAGCTTGTATCAGATCTTTGTCCAGGCCAAGGACCTGGGACCAAACGCCGTGGCCGCGCACTGCAAAGTGCTGGTCAAAGTCACCGATTTAAACGACAATGCTCCGGAGATCACCTTCAGCACTGTCACCGAGTCTGTGAGCGAAAAGGCGGCTCCGGGCACCGTCATCGCGCTGCTCAGTGTGACGGACCTGGACGCAGAGGAAAACGGACAGATCCACGTGGAGATCATCGGTGATGTTCCGTTTAAATTAAAAACATCCTTCAGGAATTATTTCACTATAGTGACTGACGGTCCGTTGAACCGGGAGCAGGCAGACTCTTACTCCATTACTGTGGTGGCGCGGGATAAAGGGACGCCCTCTCTTGCCACCAGTAAATCCATCCGAGTCCAGGTGTCAGATGAGAACGACAACCTGCCGACCTTTACGCAGCCCATATATGATGTGTATGTGACCGAGAATAACGTGCCGGGGGCCTACATCCACGCTGTGACGGCCCTGGACCCGGACATCGGGCTGAACGCGCTCATCAGCTACTCCATATTAGAGTGTGACATCCAGGGCATGTCAGTGAAAACGTATGTGTCTATCAATGAGGAGACGGGCTATCTGTATGCGCTCAGGTCCTTCGATTACGAGCAGCTGAAGGATTTCACATTCATGGTGCAGGCCAAAGACGCAGGCACCCCGGAGCTGTCCACTAACTCCACAGTCAAAGTCATCATCGTGGACCAGAATGACAATGCCCCCCTGGTGCTGGCTCCCTTGGGGAAGAACGGCACAGCCAAAGAGCCTCTGCCGCGCACCGCTGAACCGGGCTACCTGGTGACCCGCATTGTGGCCATGGATGCTGATGACGGAGAGAATGCCCGTTTATCCTACAGCATCCAGAGGGGGAACGAAAATGGTATGTTCCGGATGGACTGGAGGACAGGTGAGCTCCGTACGGCTAGGCGGGTGTCTGCCAAGCGAGACCCCCACCAGCTGTACGACCTGCTGATCGAGGTGCGGGACCACGGCCAGCCGCCGTTGTCCTCCAGCGCCAGCGTGCTGGTGATGTTGGTGGACAGCGTGGCTGAAGGCCGCGGCGTAGGGAACAGGGGGGGCACAGCCAAGGCCAAAGAGGGGACCCTGGATCTCACCCTCATCCTCATCATCGCCCTGGGCTCCGTCTCTTTCATATTCCTGCTGGTCATGATCGTGCTGGCCGTGCGCTGCCAGAAGGATAAAAAGCTCAACATCTACAGTTGCCTGACCAGCGAGTGCTGCCTGGGATGCAGCTCGTGCTGCTCCCGGCAGGCCCGGGCCCGCAAGAAAAAGCTCACCAAGTCAGATATCATGCTGGTGCAAAGCGCCGGTAACGTCAGCGGGGCCGGTACGGCTCAAGTCCCCGTGGAGGAGTCAGGTAGCTTCGGCTCTCACCATCAAAATCAGAACTATTGCTACCAGGTATGTCTGACTCCAGAGTCTGCCAAAACCGACCTCATGTTCCTAAAGCCGTGTAGTCCGTCTAGGAGCACCGACACCGAACACAACCCGTGCGGGGCCGTAGTGACAGGGTTTACAGACCAGCAACCCGACATCATATCAAATGGCAGCATTTTATCAAACGAGGTAAGAGTTTAAACACACACACACACACAGAGAGAGAGAGAGAGAGAGAGAGAGAGAGAGAGAGAGAGAGAGAGAGAGAGAGAGAGAGAGAGAGAGAGAGAGAGAGAGAGAGAGAGAGAGAGAGAGAGAGAGAGAGAGAGAGAGAGAGAGAGAGAGAGAGAATTCAGAGACCCTCAGCATGTCCAGACCGTTATTCACATCATGAATCATGAAACCTGCCTGTTTTAAACAGTTTGAAATCACACATATTGGATAGGAAATATTTTTCATACAGAAGCCTAGAAGCCCTACCTCAGCTCAGCGGGATGTCAGGTCTAGAAATGGCTGTTATTGAGAGCTGATAAACAGCATGTGGCGGCATCCTCTGACTTATTTGAGGAAAGGCTTCACAGTAGCACACTGACAGTAGACATTCTCCTTCAGCAGTGCTCAGCGCCCTGAAACAGCACTGCATGTTTACAGCTCTCCCAACTCTTTGAATTTATAACACTGTTTAATCCATGGTTGCCCCCATCACCAGATGTGAGTAATATGTGTAATGCTTGTACACAGCGCATGCTAATTCACAGTTTACATCAGTAGTGCACTGTGTGTTTTGCATCACTTCGGTTTGGGTGGTGGTGATGGTGTTACACATGGGGCCCGAGCACACACACTGATATGTTCCTCTTTTCTTTCAGACCAAACACCAGCGAGCTGAACTCAGCTACCTGGTTGACAGGCCGAGACGCGTCAACAGGTACATATGCTGCTCACCTGTCACCTTAACACTTCATCGTTTCAGAACCAGAGCTAGGAGAAGTACTTACATATTGTACTTGAGTAAAAGTAGAAGTACTCAGATATTGTACTTGAGTACAAGTAGAAGTACCAGAGTGTAGGAATACTCTGTTACAGTAAAAGTCCTGCATTCAAAATGTTACTCAAGTAAAAGTAGAAAAGTATTATCATCAAAATATAGTTAAAATAGCAACAGTACAGTAAGTAAGCTGTGTGAGGCTTTAATGGAACATTCTCTTTGGTTTCAGTTCGGCCTTCCAGGAGGCAGACCTGGTCAGCTCCAAAGACAGCGGCCACGGAGACAGTGAGCAGGGGGACAGCGACCACGACGCCACCAACCGAGGACATTCCTCCGGTAAGAAGCGCTCTGCTGCAGGTGTGTGACCTGCCTCTTCCTTCACTGTGCTTAACTTGATTGAAGCTGTGTGTTCAAAGGGTAAATCGATGAAGCACTAGAGTAGGCTTTGATGATTAGCAAACGGCTGTGGCTCTAGGAGCAGGTTGTCTCTCCGCGGCTGTATACTGGACTCTTCTGCTCAGATGGAGCACATTGTGTAGGCTGGAGAAAAAAAACAGGCCCATTTTAATTAGAGCCAGCGTACCACAGGACTGGAGTCAGCAGCATCCAGGCATTTCACTGCGTCCGAGCTTTAATGCTGATGATGCGGTACTCTGAGACATTCTGATTTCTCTCTTTTGACACTGTGGTGTGTGGTTGTTAAAGAAAAAGAAAAAAAGCTTATGATGGCTGGGAGCCTGTGAGCCCTGGATGGAAACTTGTTTCTTAACCCTCCTGTCGTGTTTGTTTCTCCCCCCTTACTTTGTGTTCCCCACTCTGTTTTATCTGCTCTTACATTAACACAAAAAACACGAATCATAATCACATTTTATTTAACGCCCAAAAAATGTCTTAGATTACTGTTTTTTATGAAAAACTGCAGTGAATATACAAAGAATGGACACTGAAAATGTATTCCAAAATTAACGTTGTCAATTTGGATGTGTATTATCTGCCGGATGAACATAATCTACGGCAGGGGTCTCCAACACGTCGATCGCAAGCTACCGGTAGCTCGCAAGCCCTCAATAAGTAGCTCGCCAAGCAAATCCAAAATGTAAAAAATACACACACAAAAAAAGGAAATGTAATTAAAAGAATCTACCCTATGCATAAACGAAACCTCAATCAAATCACTCTATCTGCTTACTACAACAGCCCAGTGGCGTAACAAGGTTGTGATTGGCCCCGGTGCAAATATTGTTTTGGCCCCCCCCCCCCCTTTGCACCAAACATAAGCGCACACTGATGCGCTCACACACGCACGGCACGGACATACACTCTCTCTTGTCCTTTCTCTTTTGAGCGTCGCTCTTGTGCTTTGGTTTGCTGTACATTATAAATGTAAGCTATTAAATTGTTTATAATGCTGCCGAACTTGCTGCTGCTAGCTACAGTACAGTACAGGTTGATTAAACGGTTCGCTCACCACGCAAGGTATCACATGACATAAAAGCAGGGCCGGTTCTAGCCAATTTGATGCCCTTGGCGAGATTTTAGCTGGCGACCCCCCCCCTATAGAGTCAATGAAAAATCTCTACAAAAGACAAATACACTACAAAAACAGAAACGTATTGACATAGGTAATATACATCAAAAAGGCTTCAAATGTATTCAGTATTGTATGAACATGTTTGAATTGGGGGGTGGACATCACCTCTTCTAGGGGGGTCCGGGGGTTTTTTAAAGTAAAATGCTTCAATCTGGTGCACTTTGAGCACACAATTACTACACTAAACAACACTAAAACACCCATATAAAAAAGATCGGTTTACATTTTAATAATCAAATAACTTATTTGATTATTAAAATGTAAACCGATCTTATTTATATGGGTGTTTTAGTGTTGTACCCCCAGATCTAGTCTCTTATTTGAAATAAGTATGTGCACATAACCAATAACCTACCATAGCCAATAACAAATAAATGCAACGTATTTAATTTTTGTTGTTCATTCATATCTTATTTTACCTTAACATTTATTTAGTAATTTAGCATTTTTTTTATCTCTCCAATTTTAAACAATATTTTTGGTTTACTGTCCTATAGTATACATTGAAATGATTTCAAACCTGTTTATCCCAATAATTATAAAGGAGTGCCTTGGAAATATGTGTTTACATAAATTGTGATCAAAATGTTTGAGACCCACTGAGATAACTTAGACCAGTGGTTCTCAACTGGTGGGTTGCGACCATAGACTGTATATATAAATGGACGTAGGGTCCGTGACGTCACCCATAGGATTCTGCAGAGTTGCAGAGAAGCCCTTAGTAGGCGGAGTCGGCCACTAACGGCTCGACTGTGACATCAGAGTCTAATCCCGCCTGCTCCAAATAAGGGCAAAGAGGCGGAGCCGAGGCGGGACCTGCTGCCTCCGAACTGGAAGTAAACAGAGCTAGCTCAGGCTAAGAAGCTAAGCTAACATGAAATACATGCATACCAAGTTACTGCTAACAGTGTAGTTCCACTATATAAACGTTACATTCATAATCAAATGAGACAATCTGCAAGAGAATTAGCTATATTTTGTTATTCTTAATGATTGTCATTCACACGTTAAGAAAAGACGGACTCCACCGCCCGGACCTAACGGAGCCGAAGTGGGCTAGCTCCGGGACGCCGGCTGGAGCTAGCCCCCTGCGGCTCCGTTAGCTCCGGCGGCCACCACTGGGATAATTGGGTCCCCTATTAACTTTTGCTCCCGTTTAGCATTATGGGCATCATAGCCATAGACTATAAAAGTCTTACCCAAGGCTGAATCATAAACTAAAATGTATATGTATCAGGGTTGCCAACTTTGGGTACCTGGCTGGAGTGAGATTTTGATATCATGGGTTTAATTACACATATGCGCACGAAATTACTGCTATCGTGTCAGTAGCGGGACCTTAGCATATATATATAGGATATACAATATATACAAATACACAATATTGGACACAGACTATAAAGGGTACACAGTTTCCTTCACTAATGAAAGTCAAACACATGTTTGTTTCCACTGTTTTATTGTGTGCCTGTCGCGATAAGCAATTAATTGACTTATCGGCTCCGGAGTATTTTTGTTGGGTAATCTATGGTAGGGCTAACCCATACAGTGGTGGGGCTCAAGTCAGTATAATGTAATTACATACACTCTATATCGCCCCCTTGACAGTGAAACGCCACGCGTGAGGTTTAGATTATTTCCCTGTCTCAATCCAAATTGAACTGTATGAAATAAAAAGGCACATTTGTCTTGTAGTAAATACAAAGGGCGACCTGGAGCCAATCCTGCAATTTCCCCACAGGTAAAAGAGTTGACATGCTGAAAACCCAACCCCTGCACACATTCTGGTACTCTCATGAGAAGAAAAAGAAATAAATCTATTACTACACATTTAAAAAAATGAATGCCATTTTAGTTTTGTGTTACTTTGTTCTGAAAGCTGAACCTGCTGCTCCTCACAGAGAGAAGAGGGAAGAGGCTGTGTGAATTACTTGTGGATAGCCCCCATTGTTCTGTGTGTCAAAATGAAAGACAGCCCACACACCTACCAATCATCAAACCGTGTGGTCTTATTTAATTACGTGTTGATTTCTATCAACACGTAATGTTGTATCGATGTATATAGAGATGTACTACAGCAAAAGTATTCTCCGTCGGGACTTCCTGCAACAACACCTCGCCGTTATCTTGATTCTGATTGGCCAGAAGACATTATCAAAGATGTTCTATTGAGAAGATGATCACTACGTGACAACAGTTTTCAAAACCGTTTCTAGTCTTCGGTATTCTTGTTTTGGCGTGAGAATAGTTTGGGCAGCGTGAGAGCGTGAGATTGAGAGTGAAAGCGTGTGTCACACGCCAGATGCGTGAGAGTTGGCAACCCTGATGTATGTATAAAGGGTTACGTCCTTAGCTGGCTAATAAGTAGCGAGCTAAGCTACCAAGCACAAAAACACCTGCGAACGGGGTTAACATGTATAATATTATCATTTTAGACTTCTTGGAAGTTCTGTTAGTACATTCAAGCGCACAGCACAACATTTTAATTGTCTGGTATTTGTAACAATATTCCCTAAAAGGCACAATCACCACGAACACGGCTAAAGGGTCAAGTACAGTAACTACAACTAACTAACGTTGTAGCCTCTATGGTTGTAGCCTAGCAGAGTGGACAAGTTGCTGTTAGCTGACAGTGAGGCATGTACATGTCCATCAAAGTGACCACGCCCTAATTTCTGCAAAATATTTAAGGCTTAATATTAATTAAACAGATGAGTTGAGAAAAAATTCACCCCCCCAATTCATATTCATGAAGGGGGGATCTAACTATAAAGAGAATATGGTTTTTTGAACCACGATGTAAACATGTTTATTTCTGCTGTAAAGTTGGGCATTTTAACATGGGGGTCTATGGAAATTGCTCCCTTCTGCAGACTGCTCCTACTGCCCACTAGATGAACTGCAGTTTGAGACACTTCCGTATTAGCGTACCGGCTCTTCCCCAGAGTTTGCCGCTTGGTCGCGACCCAAAAGTGGGTCGCGGACCCGTTTCGAGTGGGTCGCGTGTGTGAGTGAGTGTGAGTGAAGAAAAAATATTTTTTGGGGGAAAAGTCAAACTTTTATTTTGAAGGCCCGATTTTCTAACGCTGTGCAAGCAGTCGGCGTTGGACTGGAAGTACCGGAGACCATAAACGGTTTTGAAAACTTCTGTCACATAGTGATCATCTTCTCAATAAAATATCTTTGCTGATGTTTTTTCGAGTCTTCTGGCCAATCAGAATCAAGATTGTTGCCGGAAGTCCCCACGGAGAATAACTTAGCGGTAGAACCCTTCTTTATACATCCATGGGTACAACTTCAGATAAAAATGAACACAATGAAATATGACCCCCGGTTTGATGATTGACAGGTCACAGAACAATGGGAGCTATCTGTCACGGTAGAGCGAAGGAAGCAGGACCCAAATGCAGATAAACTGATAATACCTTTATTTCAAGGATAGTGAAATATAGAACTAGGACAGACAGAACACTCACCGGTGAACACAGTCAACAACGAAAGACGAACCGACAAAGACAGACAGAAAAATCACTAAGCCACCAGGGTGGGTGGAGGGGGTCTGGAGGACGGGCATGGGTTGACAGCCCAGGGGCACGGCAGAGGACCAGGAAGGGGTCTTGGGCGGACGGCCCGGGGGCAAGGCAGAGGACCAGGAAGGGGTCTCGGGCGGACGGCCCGGGGGCAAGGCAGAGGACCAGGAAGGGGTCTCGGGCGGACGGCCCGGGGGCAAGGCAGAGTCCAAAATGGGGGTTATGGAGGGGCGAAG